CGACGACGACACCCGACGCCGACGCCCGACATCCGACGCCCGACGAAAGACGCCCGACGCCCGACGCCCGACGCCCGACGCACGACGCACGACGCGCGTCGCAAGACGCACGACCCACGACGCGCGACGCACGACGACGACGCCCGACGACGACGACGACGACACCCGACGACGACCACGACGACGACGATGACGACGACGACGACGACGACGCACGACCACGACGACGCACGACGCACGACGCACGACGGACGACGCACGACGGACGACGACGACGACGACGACGACGACGACGACGACGACGACGACGACGACGACGCACGACGACGACGCACGACGACGACGACGACCTGGTAATGCCGTAATGTAACAAAGCACGCTCGTAATATCCTGGTAATGCCAGGTGATGCGCTCATCTTGGAAGTGAAGTAAAAGTCCTGTTTAATATTTTAGCTTTGTAATGCCACAAAACAAAGCACGATTGAAAACAATGAAAGCATGCAATGAAAGCATGCAGCAACATGGCAAATGATCAACACCTGAACTCAACGGTTCAAGCGGTCAACAATGCTTCGACATTTTCGGCCACCCAGCACCCTAAATTTTCCGGAAATTTAGGGAGCTGGGCCGTGGCTTCTGAACATGATCAGGCTACATCCGTTTCCTAAATTTCCTGAAAATTTTGGGTGTGTAAATTTTCGGAAAATTTAGGAAAGCGATGAAGCAAATTTTCCGGAAATTTAGGGACCGAGGCTTCGGGCTACCCGGAACCAGAAATTTTCCAGAAATTTAGGGGAGCGAATCCGGCTTGCGGCCGTCGAAGAGGCCCAGCCTTTCAAAGGGCACAGCCCAAGCCCCAAAATTTCCCGGAAATTTTGGGTCCCGGGTAGGCCAAAGCGGCTTGCTCGCCGGGGTCCAGAAATTTCCGGAAAATTTTGGGGCTGGGGCACTCCGAGGCGTGACGCACCGCATAGGGCTGGTTTGACCGTAGCGTTTTATAGAGTAGATTTCCAAATCATTTTTAAAATGATCAGAATAGAATATTCGAAAGATCGAAGAACTATATATCTAATTCAGAATGATAGATAAATCCTTCATATCATATCCAGATACTAAGAGACGATTCCCCCTCCGCATCATCTAAATATAAACAAATTTTAGTCATTTCTCATCGTAAGAGTCTCTCATTAGAGAAGATTCATATTAAATTAAAATATTCAGAATTTGTTTGATTCGATTCCTTTAAAAGAATCCTATCCCAAATCTCTTGAAAAAAAAAACGAATATTCCATCCCGAGCTATAAATTCTCAGAATTTTTATTTTGCAAATTCTCCCCCACATAGATCTTTCAAATGAAACAGAAAATAATATAGAATAATGAAGGCGATATCTACGCCCAGAAACACCAATGAGGAGATTTCGTTCTCTATATCCAAAGACTTTCAAGACTTCTTGTTCACCCAAAAGTACCAATTCGATCATCCTGGTCGAGAATATGAATCCAATTCATAGATCTCCATTCTCGAAATTCACGACCGAAATAACAAGGCTCAAATCCCAGGTCGCCGCACCCCCACAATGAAAACACCCGCCACCACCCCGAATACGCAGGGGAAAAGATGAAAACAAAATTTAAGTTTCAACAATAGGCAAGCAAGAGGTTGAGAAAGAATCGATCAAAACCGTCCAAAATTTCGGACACAAACCCAATCTATGCATTTTCTATCAAACCCTTAACTTTAAACCCTAAACCTTGAAGCTCCCCATTACACAGCAATCCCTTTTGTCAAAATATACTCCTGCAACTCCGAGTTGCAACTAATCAGAGGTGGCCGTTGCCGTTGTTGAACATGTCTGAAATTTGGGGGGCTTGCCTCCCTACATCGTCTTTCGCCCGGATTTTGTCCGTGAGATTGTGCATGCGGTATGGCCATGGATTAGTCGACCTGTTCACATCCCGCGGACGTGACGCATAAGTCACTGCTCCCAGGAAACAGGAAACTTTGCACTGTAGGGCCTCACTACTTGATCGGAAACTTGGGTCCCGCGTTCTTGAAGCCCTCGACCCAGTTGATGGCCCAGAAGTCGTGGGCGAGTGCCGGGTGGCACATGTACTCGTAGGGCATGTAGAAGTAGCCCTTGTCACCCCACCTCAGAGAGGGAACTAGCAAAGTGTTCAAAAGAATGTTAAACAGGCCACAAGCACAAGACGCAATGTCAATCTGAAGGGATCTAGTCTGTGGCCAAGCCACCCTTCGCCCCAAGAGTTGCGGACGATGAAGCACTGCTGGAAGTCGTCGTAACCCACAGCGCACACGGCGTGGCCCCCTAGTTGCTGATCGGTCGCCTGGGGCATCACCATCTTGCCGGTCCTGGCAACCTCTGCTGTCTGGAAGCTTGACAGGACGGCAAAGCCGAAGACGAAGGGGTAGCCATTCTTGATGCACCTCTTGAACTGACTCAAGTCTTGTGCAACACGGGCATATCCAATCACCTTGCACTTCTGTGCCAGCTCATAGGACTTGTCGTCCGGCTGCTTCTTGAAGAAGTCATTCTGATCGTCATACTTCCAGACGCTCTCAGGGCACACGCCCACTTTGGCCATGACCTTGATGCCATCGCGAAGCATGGCCCCCGCATCCTGGTTCACGCTGCCCTCCACCAGGCGCTCGTTGTAGTAGATGAAGAGGCGGCTGGGGGTGAAGTCGGCGAAATCCTGTGTACATATCTAAACCCTAAACCCTAAACCCTAGACCCTAAACCCTAAACCCTAAACCCTCAAGGCCAGGATAAATCGAAATTGTATGTGATTCAATAGGAGAAGCTCGTGCAATAACCCTTCATCCTTCTCAGTGTAAAACAAAACACCCACCCCCCCCCCTGCGGCAACAGCCCAGCCTGCCAGCCCCCCCAAGCCTCAGCCCTGCTCAGAGGCCTCCAGAGCCTTTCCCCCAGACCCCCCCCCAGCCCAGCCCCAGCCCCCCAGCCCCCCCCCAGCCCCAGCCCTTCCTCAGCCCCAGCCCCAGCCCCAAAGACAAAATGACAAAAGCAAAAAACAAAACCTGGCAACACTCCGGACACAAACCCTATACCATTTCGATTAAACCCTAAACCTCCAGCAACGTGTCCTTGTGGTTCTCCACCGTCATCTTGTGGAGGGTGAAGTGGAAGGCTGCTGCCAAAGCGTTTGCTGTGCAGCTGCCCAGGTGCCCCTGGTCGAAGATGGGGAAGCCACCGTTCAAGGGGCGCAAGTCGACGATCTCCTGCTCTCCTGGCTTCGTTTAGGGTTTAGGGTTTAGGGTTTAGGGTTTAGGGTTTAGGGTTTAGGGTTTAGGGTTTAGGGTTTAGGGTTTAGGGTTCAGGGTTCAGGGTTCAGGCTCTCCTGGCACGACCAAGGAGAAAGACTCAAAACTAGTTGTCTGCCCAAGTTCTTAGGTTCTTAGGTTGCGACCTAAAATAATTTGACTTGGGGTCCTTCTGCCTTTTTCAAGATCTGACTGGGGGCCATCAACGTTTCGAAGGTCACGTGATGGTCGCGATGGTCTGGAATGTCGGGCTTCCACCCGAACTTCACGTTCGTTCGCAGCGGCAAGGAGAGAAGGCTCGGATGCTTTTGCTCAGCTGGAATCTTTAGCTCGACGCTGTCTCCATTGACACTGCTATTGCAGCTGCCCATTCTCGCAGGTCTGGGAGTCTAGGAGGGACCCTGGCTGATGCTGGAAAAGACTGCCTGGCAGAAAAACGAAGTGGCAAGTGCAGCCTAAGACCTCTCGGAATGCAGCGGGCCAGTGCACTTTGTGCCAGACTGTTGGTGCACAGCGTACTCGAAAATGGAGCTACTGATATGTTATTTTCTGGCAAAGCTGTGGACCATGGTGGCTCGCCCTATACCCTGAGAGCACACGTCGTGAAAATAGGCCAATCCTAAAAAAGACTTTCATGCCCCTCGAACTCCTCTCACTCCGGAATATTTACATTCCAGGAACTTTCTTGAATTCAAGAAGAAGACTTACGCCATTACTGAACCCTAAGCCCTAAACCCTCAACCCCCATTCTGAGGAGCATTCCTTTGTTTTACGGGCATTGGGTCAGGCCCTTTCTCCCTTTAGCTCCGGAGGTAAGGTTTAGGCCTAGCCTGTCCCTGAACCCTAAACCCTCAACTCTAAACCCGCTTTTCAGAAGCCTTCTGCGGATAGATTCGTTCCCCATCAGGGGATCGTGGGCGTCTCGCCAAGAGAGCTGCTTCGTTTCTGAAGCCTCCCGCTCAAAACTGCAACCAAAACGCCTCTGTACCTCTCTACAGCAGGTGTTGCTGTACATCATCTTCAGTGCCATCGGCGAAGCCATACCCCTAACGCTAGAGTCGAACCTCTAAAGCTTCTCAAGGTTCAAAACCCTTGAAGCCTAGCGAAACGCTTCACGGTTTCACGTCGCCAATCCCGACAGGTGCACTGAAGGGGCGGTGTACACACTGTGTTTACAGGATCCCCGCGCTCAAAACGACGACGATCCTCATCCGGCCACTAACCTGGAGGGTGGAAAGATGTGATAGTGTGTTGGGCCTGGGCCATTTATTTAGGGTTATGTTTGGGGTTGACGAACATAGGGGACCCCGAATACTCCCCCACAAAAAGCATGCTCCAAAACCAAGACTGGGTTTTGGAGTACTGTACTTTAATGCTTTTTTGGTTCTGGGTTCCCACTATAGCTACTTATACCCAAAAAGTATCGACTTTTTTCCAGGGTCCACTCCACAGTAGGGAAGATGCAGCCAAACTCCCGTAAACCTGAAACTCACATATATGGGGGTCTCCGAAATTAGGGGAACCTTTTTTGGGGTCCTTATTTAGAGTTTTGGGTTTAGGGTTTAGGTGTTTAGGGCAGAAGGTCCTGTGATTTAAGTACCTGCGTGGTTTACGGCTGCGAGAAGGGATTAACTTCAGCCCAGCTGCAGCTGGTTGCTGAAGCAAGGCTGAACGAGGAACGCACCCATGGATACTCACTTCTTGATGGGCTTCGCGGCAGCGTTCTTGAAGCCCTCCACCCAGTTGATGGCCCAGAAGTCCGAGGCAAGCGCCGGGTGGCAGATGTACTCGTAGGGCATGTAGAAGTAGCCCTTGTCACCCCACCTCACAGAGGCAACTAGCAAAGTGTTCAAAGGAATGTTAAACAGGCCACAAGCACAAGACGCAATGTCAATCTGAAGGGATCTAGTCTGTGGCCAAGCCGCCCTTCGCCCCAGGAGTTGCGGACGATGAAGCACTGCTGGAAGTCGTCGTAACCCACAGCGCACACGGCGTGGCCGCCTAGCTGCTGATCGGTCGCCTGGGGCATCACCATCTTGCCGGTCCTGGCAACCTCCGCTGTCTGGAAGCTTGACAGGACGGCAAAGCCGAAGACGAAGGGGTAGCCGCTCTTGATGCACATCTTGAACTGGCTCAAGTCTTGTGCAACACGAGCATAGCCCATGACCCTGCACTTCTGGGCAATCTCATATGCCTTCGCATCCGGCTCCTGCTTGAAGAAGCTGGGGCCATCGTCGTACTTCCAGACGCTCTCAGGGCACACACCAACCTTGGACATGACCTTGATGCCATCGCGGATCATGGCCCCCGCATCCTGGTTCACGCTGCCCTCCACCAGGCGCTCGTTGTAGTAGATGAAGAGGCGGCTGGGGGTGAAGTCGGCGAAGTCCTGTATACATGTCTAGAAAAAGAAGCCCAAGTCAATCGTGACTTGGGTTGGTTCAGGGTTTAGGGTTTAGGGTTTGGGGTTTGGGGTTTGGGGTTTGGGGTTTAGGGTTTAGGGTGTAGGGTTTAGGGGAGGCGAGAGAGGCAAAACGCACCCCACAGGACGGCAAAACACGAAACTGCACCGAGGTCACCACATCACCTTGTGACAGCCTCCCTTCCCTAAACCCCTAAACTCGACATGGGGTTTTCCGAAATTAGGGGTACCTTTTGGGGTCCTCATTATAAGGGAATCCTACTACTTGGGGGTCTGTATTGGGGTCCCTTCTTCTCGTAAACCCCCACATAGCCTGAACCCTGGCTTACTTTTGCTTGGTCAGTTGCTTCCTTGTGGTTCTCTACCTCCATCTTGTGCAAGGTGAAGTGGAAGGCTGCCGCCAGCGCATTCGCAGTGCAGCTTCCGAGATGGCCCTGGTCGAAGATGGGGAAGCCACCTGGAACTCAAAAAAAAAGAGGTTTAGGGTTTCGGGTCTATAGGGTTGAGGGTTTTAAGGTTTAGGGCTTTAGGGCTTAGGAGGTCTATCCCCTGATCACCTCTGTGGCCTAGCAGAGGACGACATAAGCCCCAAATGCTAAACCCTAAGCCCAGCCCAACAGGTCGATCACACGATACTGCCGAAGATGATCCTCGGACACGGGCCGGAAACTTTCGAGCCAGAAGCGATCCCCAAATCCTAAACCCTAAACCCTAACCCCCCAACCCCATAACCCGAAACTTTCAGTGTTCGCGCTGCCCGGCCGTTCATTGGGCGGAGGTCCACGAGCTCCTTCTGCCCCTCGGCCTTCTTCTTGATCCTCATGGGGTTTGGGGTTTCGGGTTTAGGGTTTGGGGTTTAGGGTTTAGGGTTTCGGGTTTGGGGTTTAGGGTTTTCGGTCTAATCACTTGGAGGTTCATGGGTATTCATAAGTTGGGGTTACAAAGTAACTGCAAGCAAAATAGGTCAGAACCTGATTTTGGGTACGTTTCAGCCTGCTTCTCTACCCATGAATCTTAAAGGGACTCGTGGTTGCTTGGTAGGCTAGTAGCCCTATTGCCACGTTGGTGCCCTTCTCGGTGTTGGTCGCTTCCACGAAGGAACCCAATACCCCAAACAGGGCACAAGGGCACCGCTGGACTACCCAATCCTGCAACATCGGTTGGCGCCTACAGACTTTAGCTTGCCCTAAGCCCTGAGCCCTAAACCGCAAAATCGGAAGGGCTTCTTACTGCTGCGTGTGCTGCACGGAGCGGATAACGCAAAAAGTCATTCAGCACAATGTGATCGCATGTGAGTTAAGACCTCTCCTTGCAGCAAATCTTTGTGCCCCATTTTAGTTCAAGGCTCAGGGCTTATGGCTCCATACGGCCATAACTTACGACAACCTGCAAACCGGCTCAGGTCAACGTGTTTGGGTCTATGGTGTAGGATCTCAACCCTACACCCTAAACCCTAAACCCTAAACCCTAAACCCAGACCAACTCTTGGAGAAACAAAATCAGGGGGGGGGATTCAAGGAAGAGGCGCCGATCGGGGATGATTCGTGAGGGCGGGCGAGCACGCAAATGGGAAGGGGGCTTAGGGTTTAGGGTTTAGGCCGTTTCGGGCATTTAGGGTTCCAGAGAACAATGGAAAAAATCAGGTGTCAGGGCCGAGAACCCTAAACCCTAAACCCTAAACCCTAAACCCAAAAAACTGCGAAGAAGGGATAGCAGAACCGGAGCGGGGTCTGGGGTTTATAGGTTGGATAGGAGCGGTGGGAGACGATAAAAAGGGGGGGATGTTCAACAATCAGGGTGTAAGATAGGTCGGTGGTGCTGGTGGGGGGTGGGGGGGTTGTTCCGACAAGAGAAACCAACCCTAAACCCTAAACGCAACCAAGTGTCTTGCTTGGTGCCTCCACCTTGGGGAAGTTGACATGAAGATCTCGGTGGTCCGGCAGATCCTGGGCAAAGGTCTTCATGGTTTAGGGTTCTTATCTGCGCCTGTAGACCTCGCAGAATAAAGGAGCCCGATAATTGGGATCCTGTACCCAATATGGGGGTTTAGTTCCTTATTTGGGGACCTTCTTTTCAGGGAATCCTCCTACTTGGGTCCCTCATTTTCGTAAACCCCCATATCCCTTGTGGAGCACGCCAACCTAAACCCCAACATGTGACCAAACTAACCCTAGGCCCCAAGAAGTTCATCCCAATGGGCCTTCCCAGGTTCATTTCGTTCCCAAAGGTTGGGGTTTAGGGTTTAGGGTTTAGGGTTTAGGGTTTAGGGTTTAGGGTTTAGGGTTTAGGGTTTAGGGTTTAGGGTTTAGGGCTTAGGGCTTGGGGCTTAGGGCTTCAGGGCTTCAGGGCTTAGGGTTTGGAATCAACCCGAAGGCGTGTTCGCAGTGAGCATTCTCACAGTGGGAAAGTTAAAGGCCGTCTCAACCAGATATGTGTGAGCAATGACACCAATCCATGCATCAACGTCAAATCCCCAAGTCTGAAATGCCTGGGCCAAAACACTCCTATAAGCCCCTAAACCCTATCCCCCGAGACCCCAAAGCCCTGAATCTCTACGGCAGAAGCCGAGGTGCAGAAGCCTCCCCCGCCACACTGGGACTGTTGAGTTGTACTTGCTTGGGCTTTAGGGTCTAGACCCGAGCTGAAGGCTTGGTTTAGGGTTTGGGGCTTGGGGCTTGGGGCTTGGGGCTTGGGGCTTGGGGCTTGGGGCTTGGGGCTTGGGGCTTGGGGCTTGGGCCTTGGGGTTTGGGGTGAAGGGTTCGGGGTTTGGGGTTTGAGGTTGTGAGGAGTTCCGCGGCACGGTTTAGCATTTAGGGTTTAAGGTCCGCAGCCCTGAGCCAAGTCAACCTCCCAGAGTCCTAAGCCCTGCAAACCATAAACCCTGAAACCCCTCAAGAACCTCATGGAGCCCTAGCCCTAACCCTAAACTCTAAACCTTAAACCCCTAAAGTTAAAACCCCGAAGCCCTAAACCGTAAGCCCTAACCCTAAACCCTAAACCCTAAACGCTCAAAGGCAGCGGAGGATCCGGCTTCCAGCCGAACTTCTGGATGGTGCGGGCCGGCACACTCTTCAGGGTTGGGTTCATCCTGGCTTGGGATAGGGTTTAGGGTTTAGGGTTTAGGGTTTAGGGTTTAGGGTTTAGGGTTTAGGGTTTAGGGTTTAGGAATTGAGGTTTACGTAGGGTTGAAGGGCGCCGGAGATCATAATCCTGGTCAAGGTCACCATACCATACCCTATTCATAGTCAGAACATCATGAGCCAGAGTCGTAGTCTCAGCCTCAGAATCATAATGGCAGAGTATCAGCATTTTAAGATAAACGCAATAAACATCATCATCAGTAGCATCATCATCAACATCATCAACATCATCGTCATCATCATCATCATCATCATCATCATCATCGTCACCACCACAATCATCATCATCGTCATCATCGTCATCATCATCATCATCATCATCATCATCCGGTACCAGATATCCTAACGCTTGAGAGGGATTGCAGGTCGTGGCTTGGCTCTCAAGGGATCGGATTGCGGCCTGGGCACGTGTATTCGGCCTTCTTGGAATTCTTGAAGCCCTCCACCCAGTTGATGGCCCAGAAGTCTGAGGCAAGCGACGGGTGGCACATGTACTCGTAGGGCATGTAGAAGTAGCCCTTGTCACCCCACCTCAGAGAGGGAACTACCAAAGTGTTTAAAAGAATGTTAAACAGGCCACAAGCACAAGACGCAATGTCAATCTGAAGGGATCTAGTCTGTGGCCAAGCCACCCTTCGCCCCAGGAGTTGCGGACGATGAAGCACTGCTGGAAGTCGTCGTAACCCACAGCGCACACGGCATGGCCGCCTAGCTGCTGATCGGTCGCCTGGGGCATCACCATCTTGCCGGTCCTGGCAACCTCCGCTGTCTGGAAGCTTGACAGGACGGCAAAGCCGAAGACGAAGGGGTAGCCATTCTTGATGCACATCTTGAACTGGCTCAAGTCTTGTGCAACACGAGCATAGCCCATGACCCTGCACTTTTGGGCGATCTCGTAGGACCTGGAGTCCGGCTGTTGCTTGAAGAAGTCAGGGCCGTCGTCGTACTTCCAGACGCTCTCAGGGCACACGCCCACCTTGGACATGACCTTGATGCCGTCGCGGATCATGGCCCCCGCATCCTGGTTCACGCTGCCCTCCACCAGGCGCTCGTTGTAGTAGATGAAGAGGCGGCTGGGGGTGAAGTCGGCGAAGTCCTACTACAGCACGGCGCACTGCCACCCAATGCTGCCCTGCCCATTCGGCACCCACAACCCTAAACCTTAGATTCTAAGATGTCCTTGTCGTTTTCTACCTCCATCTTGTGAAGGGTGAAGTGGAAGGCAGCTGCCAAAGCGTTTGCCGTGCAGCTACCAAGATGGCCCTGGTCGAAGATGGGGAAGCCACCTTGGATGAGGGCTTCGCAGGGCTTAGGGCTTAGGTTTTATTAACCTTGGACCCTCGAAGACACGGAAATTATCCCCTTAGACTCCCCATATGCAACTATGATTTGACAGCTTACATGCCCCTTCGAATGTGGAAAACCGCTTTCTCCTACAGCGTTTTCCACTGTGTCAGCGTTCAGGTCTGCCAGCACGCCTTCCTAATCGCACAGCCCAGCTGCCGTTGAGAGGGCGCAGGTCCACAATCTCATTCGTCCCATCTGCTTTCTTCTTGATCCTTGAGCTTGAAGAACTGCGTTTACCGTAGGGCTACCACTGCTTGCATGCAAGTTCGCAAGTCTCTAAGGTGTCGATGGGGTTTACCTAAGCCTTAAACCCTGAGCCTTTGCTGTGCTGGCCAACATGTCTTCTCGTTCCGGCAAAATCAGGCACACAAAGTTGCGAAACCCTACCCAGAGACTCCAAAAACACCTTCGTTCAGAACTCTAGTATCACAAGACACAAAGGGGTCCTGCACATATGATTGAGGACTGATTGAAGAGTGTTCAACACCGCATGTAATATATATATATATATATATATGTATGAAAGAGCAGCCTTTCGGGTCTATTTAGCTCATTCCCTTTTTTTAATAAGCAGAAAATAATTTAATTTATTTAAATAAATTAAACTATTTAAATAGAAAGCTTAATTAAATTATTTAAATCCTACGCCCTATTTTTTTTTAATAATTAAGGCGTCGGATTTAAATAATTTAATTGGCTCTGTGCCTGTCTGTACTCACCTCCCACCACAATTAAATTAATTTAAACGATTTAAACGATTTAAACGATTTTAACGATTTAATTGGGGCCAATTAAATCGTTTAAATCCTACGGTCCAATTAAATTATTTAATTGAGGCGTCGGATTTAAACGATTTAATTGGGCCCAATTAAATCGTTTAAATCCTACGGTCCAATTAAATTATTTAATTGAGGCATCGGATTTAAACGATTTAATTGGACCCAATTAAATCGTTTAAATCCTAGGGTCTATTTAAATTATTTAATTGAGGCGTCGGATTTAAACGATTTAATTGGGCCCAATTAAATCGTTTAAATCGTTTAAATCGTTTAAATCGTTTAAATCGTTTAAATCGTTTAAATCGTTTAAATTAATTTAATTGTGGGGGGACTCAGCCAAGCCATAAACCAATTAAATCATTTAAATCCTACGGTCCAATTAAATTATTTAATTGAGGCGTCGGATTTAAATAATTTAATTGGCTCTGTGCCTGTCTGTACTCACCTCCCACCACAATTAAATTAATTTAAACGATTTAAACGATTTAAACGATTTTAACGATTTAATTGGGGCCAATTAAATCGTTTAAATCCTACGGTCCAATTAAATTATTTAATTGAGGCGTCGGATTTAAACGATTTAATTGGGCCCAATTAAATCGTTTAAATCCTACGGTCCAATTAAATTATTTAATTGAGGCATCGGATTTAAACGATTTAATTGGACCCAATTAAATCGTTTAAATCCTAGGGTCTATTTAAGTTATTTAATTGAGGCGTCGGATTTAAACGATTTAATTGGGCCCAATTAAATCGTTTAAATCGTTTAAATCGTTTAAATCGTTTAAATCGTTTAAATTAATTTAATTGTGGGGGGACTCAGCCAAGCCATAAACCAATTAAATCATTTAAATCCTACGGTCCAATTAAATTATTTAATTGAGGCGTCGGATTTAAATAAATTAATTGGCTCTGTGCCTGTCTGTACTCACCTCCCACCACAATTAAATTAATTTAAACGATTTAAACGATTTAAACGATTTAATTGGATCCAATTAAATCGTTTAAATCCGACGGTCTATTTAAATTATTTAATTGAGGCGTCGGATTTAAACGATTTAATTGGGCCCAATTAAATCGTTTAAATCCTACGGTCTATTTAAATTATTTAATTGAGGCGTCGGATTTAAACGATTTAATTGGGCCCAATTAAATCGTTTAAATCGTTTAAATCGTTTAAATCGTTTAAATTAATTTAATTGTTGGGGGACTCAGCCGAGCCATAAACCAATTAAATCATTTAAATCCTACGGTCTATTTAAATTATTTAATTGAGGCGTCGGATTTAAACGATTTAATTGGGCCCAACTAAATCGTTTAAATCCTACGGTCCAATTAAATTATTTAATTGAGGCGTCGGATTTAAACGATTTAATTGGACCCAATTAAATCGTTTAAATCGTTTAAATCGTTTAAATCGTTTAAATTAATTTAATTGTGGGGGGACTCAGCCGAGCCATAAACCAATTAAATCATGTAAATCCTACGGTCTAATTAAATTATTTAATTGAGGCGTCGGATTTAAATAATTTGATTGGCTCTGTGCTTGTCTGTACTCACCTCCCACCACAATTAAATTAATTTATACGATTTAAACGATTTAAACGAATTAATTGGGTCCAATTAAGCCGTTTAAATCCTACGGTCTAATTAAATTATTTAATTGAGGCGTCGGATTTAAACGATTTAATTGGGTCCAATTAAATCGTTTAAATCCTACGGTCCAATTAAATTATTTAATTGAGGCGTCGGATTTAAACGATTTAATTGGACCCAATTAAATCGCTTAAATCGTTTAAATTAGTTTAATTGTGGGGAAACTCAGCCAAGCCATAAACTAAATTATTTAGGTAGGGCTGGAGAGGCTGGAGGGGCTGGAGGAACTGGAGGAACCTGGAGGCTGAAGGGATGGGCTGGAGCTGGAGGGGCTGGAGGGGGCTGGAGGGGGCTGGAGGGGGCTGGAGGGGCTGGCTGGCTGGAGGGGCTGCTGCAAGGGCTGGAGGGGTTGGAGAGGCTGGAGGGGCTGGAGGAACTGGAAGAACTGGAGTGGCTGGAGGAACCGGGAGGCTGAAGGGGCGCCTGGAGGGGCTGGCTGGAGGGGCGGGCTGGAGGGGCTGGCTGGAGGGCTCTGCAGGGGCTGGAGGGGTTGGAGGGGCTGGAGGGGAGGGGCTGGAGGGCTTGTGCTTTAACCCCTCCTCTCCCCTCCCCTACCCCTCCCCAATTTTCCACCTCACTTCGCAGAGCGCCACCCCACGCACCGCGTCGCACCTGCAACCTGCTCCCCGACCCCATCACCCCCAACAAGCCCCCTTGCAACAATTTACTACACCCACACCACTCGCACCTAACCCCTCCTGCCCCTCCACTCCAAACTACCAACCTGAAGTTATCATAATTATGATGACTTCAACTTCCCCATCATAAGTTATCATAATTATGATAACTTTAGCTTCCCGATCTAAATTATCATAATTATGATAACTTCAAGTTCTTTATCTCAGAGTATGATAAATATGATAAGCAACTTTTCATAATTATGATAAGTTATTATAATTATGATAAGTTATCATAAGTTATCATACTTATGATAAGGTATCATAATTATGATAAATTGTCATAGTTATCATAAGCTATCCTCCTCGCCCTTTCCCGTTAAAAGTGCTTACAGCTTAAAGACCTTAGTACAAAAAACTGTACTAAAGCGCAAAGAAAACAATGCTTATGATGCAGAGACTTTGGTACACTATGATGCGTCAAGACACAATGAAATTATGCTTGCGATCTAGACACTGCGCCCTTTGAGATAGTTGAGAAGAAAAAAATGGCCGCGTGCCAATATTGATTGCTTGTAACGGAGTGATTCCAAGTCTTGCTTATCGGGGGGTAAGTGTTCGTAAATTTCACCAAAAACATGACAATTTTTCCGCTGAATATGTGTCAGTAGAGCCGTGCTACCACAAAAAAAGCATGACACATTTTTCGCGGAATATGTGTCACCAGAGTTCTCTTAGCAACATAAACATGACACTTTTCCCGCGGAATATGTGTCAGTAGAGCTGTGCTAACACAAAAAGCATGACACATTTTCCGCGGAATATGTGTCAGTAGAGGCGTGCTAACAAAAAAAAGCATGACACATTTTCCGCGGAATATGTGTCACGAGAGTTCTGCTAAGACAAAAAGCATGACACATTTTTCGCGGAATATGTGTCAGTAGAGCCGTGCTAACACAAGAAAGCATGAGAAGTGCACCTATCTGTGAATAGCAAGATTGGTATTTCTAATTAGGGAGAGACAAGGGAGATATATAAAGCTTTGATTAAATGATTTACATCATGTAATGTAAACAATTTAAACAATTCAAATAATGTAAATACATTATATAGTTTAAATAGTTGAAATCCGAAAAGGGGGGGGAACCACCCTCCCCGCCTCCTAAGAATTAAATAATTTAAATAATTTCAATCCGAAACCTCCCCGTCGTACTTAAATTAATCACTATTTAATTCTTGGGAGGGGGGAAGCTCCGGGCAAAATTTGGCCAAATCGAGCCGCGCATTTCTCATCGCATACGAAGAGCTGCCCGATTTGGCCAAATTTTGCCCGGAGGCTGCTTGGCAAAATTTGGCCAAATCGAGCCGCGCATTTCTCATCGCCTACGAAGAGCAGCCCGATTTGACCAAATTTTGCCCGAAAGCTGCTCGGCAAAATTTGGCCAAATCGAGCCGCGCCTTTCTCATCGCCTACGAAGAGCAGCCCGATTTGGCCAAATTTTGCCCGAAAGCTGCCCGGCAAAATTTGGCCAAATCGAGCCGCGCCTTTCTCATCGCCTACGAAGAGCAGCCCGATTTGGCCAAATTTTGCCCGAAAGCTGCCCGGCAAAATTTGGCCAAATCGAGCCGCACCTTTTTCATCGCCTACGAAGAGCAGCCCGATTTGGCCAAATTTTGCCCGGAGGCTGCTTGGCAAAATTTGGCCAAATCGAGCCGCGCATTTCTCATCGCGTACGACGAGCAGCCCGATTTGGCCAAATTTTGCCCGCAGACTGTCCGGCAAGATTTGGCCAAATCCAGCCGCACGTTTCCCATTGTTGGGCCCTTTGGGGCCGTTTTTTTGGGGCCAAATTGGGCCCAAAGGGCAAATGTTGCCCAAAATTAGCCAAAGGAGAAAAAAGAGCCCACTTCATAAACCTTATAAGTAGTTTTACATAATTCTTTTACCCCACCCCCCCCAGCCCTCCTCCACCTTTCGTGCCCTCTACCTCAAAAACGAAGGCTTGTACTTGCACTTGTACTTGTAATGTACTCGTATAGGCGCAGAGTGTGCCTAGGTCACTTGAGAAGTTTTGAGTGGTGCAGCAAACCCAGCTGATGCTCATGATTTCTCTGTCTCCCTGTATATGGGCGATGGAACGGGTGTCCTTTTTGATCGTT